AGGGGAATGATAAGAATTTGTAAATAGAATAAATACAAAAGAAATCTCCATAGGAATATAGTCTTTCACTAAATAAATTTCAAATGATATCATGTCAAAATAGGTAGGTTATGGTTGTATATTTAATATTCTAGTAGAATAAAAACAAAGCAAAATCAGCAAAACCAATAAACAAATGAGTGTTTTTTGGTCGATAAACCAAAACCAAAATGGCCAAGGGTTTCAAATATCTCCTTCCCTTAAGTTCTGTCCTTTTGAAGTCATCAAGACCCAAAGCAGACAGCATTAGGACTGGGAGAAACATCAGGATGAGAAGAAGTAACACACTAGGAAACACACAGCTGACCTGTAAAAGTGTGGGACCAAGATTTTACAATTGGGTCAGGGCATTTACATTTCTTTTAAGGCTTAGGAACTCTCTGAGGGGGGTGGGCATTTTGCCTAACACTTAGGATTCTTGCATCAAGTTTAGAGTCTTAGGTTTGATACCCAACTCTGGCCCTTGCTCCAGCTTCCTGACAATTCAGATCATGGGAAGCAGTAGTAATGGCTCAAATAATTGGATATCTGCCACCCACATGAGAGACCTGGATAGAGTTCTAACTCCCAGTTTTGGCCCTAGCCCAGCCTGAGTCATTGTAGGCACTAAGAGATGAAAAGTTCTCAGCATCTGTCTCTCTGTGTTTCTCTGTAACTGAAATTACAAAGGAAGGGTGGGGTTTCCTGAATTGACATCAAGATAAGAAAATAGAAATGCTAATCACCTGATTTGATCATTTGATACTGTATACATATATTGAAATACTACATTATATCCTGTAAAGATATGCAAGTAATACATGTTAATCAAAAGTTGTAAAAATGTCTCAATGTGTAAAAATAAAGAAATCCAAGAGTTGAAGCATTGTGTCAAATTTTCAAACTGGATTTTCAAGTTTGTCACCCTTTGATAGAGATCTCCAACAGAAGTCCAGCAATGTTACCCATACAATCACAAATGCATTTGTGATGAAAATCAATAACTTTTTTCCATATCAAATGTTTTTCTCTTTTTGTATCTTTATGCTTCACTGGTGAGTGTTTTTATTTCAACTTCCTTCACAAAGCCTCTACTCTTCCCTTTTAATTTTTACCATTAATGATCTGCTCTATTGTACCTGAATAGAAAGAAGATGCTAGAAGTTTGATTAAAATGTTAGTTGCATACAATGGAGTCACCATCTAGGTGTTGCTGTATCTTAGGAACTGCACTATGAATTTTATATATATTCAATCATTTAAGCCTCACAATAACCCAATAAGTATATGCTACTACTCCTATTTATAGACAAGGACACTGATACTCAAAACAAGTTCAATAAATTTTCCAACATCAAAAGCTCCTAATTAGTCCAAGAGACCTCAATATTTCCAACTTCATTGTATATTATGTTATAGCTAATCAAGGTATAATTTTATACACAGATTCTCCAACATTCATAGACAATGTAAGTTACATTTCCCCTTATTCCTAGATACTCAGTGCATTGACTATTGTATTAATAAGCCTGACTTTTCAGGAAAAAGAAGGATACAGACAAAAGTATAAAAATAAGCAGCAATGATACTACTAGTCAGTTGCCAAGTTTTGAAAACTTTTGGAACTTGTTATCATATCTTTTGACATCAAAGTGTAATTCTTACTTGGGGCTGTAAATCTAAAAACTGTTTCATATCCGCCATCAGCCCTCACTATTATCTGTTCTACCATCTAGCTGTCTTTTCTTGCTTACGCTGGCTTAATGACTCATACTCTTCTATCCAAATCTATTGTGCACAGTGCCTTTGGAGATATTTTTCAAAGTGGAATAATTAGTTTGCTTACCTTAAAATATTGTGATTACATTTAATTATAAAATAACTGAAAATACTCTAAGCCTCTTTACCAAAACATTTTGTTTGATTTTCCTCTAGTACCTTTCAGCACTCTTCTGCTCAAAACAAAACAAAACAAAACAAAACAAAAAAAGAAAAAACAAAAACTATTCCTAACCTGAAAATATAATGTAGATGTGGGAGGATACTTCTGTTGGACTTGCCTTTGGAAAAGTGCAGAAAACCTGAGGATCTTAGCATCACTTTTTCCTGTAACATTGTTTTCAACTCCTTTTTAAGTTCTTCAGTACTTGTTATTATTAAAGAAATTAAAGGACAATCAATTTAGTTAGTGTTACTAATTTATTTTCCAAATGCACTCAAGCTCTTCCTTTGTAACCTCATTTTTAAGGGAAGAAATTGGACACAATGGTATAGTTTATTTTTATGTCTCAAACACCTGCTTTTTATTTCTGTATGACTGTTACATTAGACAAGGGGAGAAACAGATCAGTGTTGACAGATCAATTATGACAGATGTAACCTAGCAACTTGAAACAATCAAATCACTAATGTAACTCTCAAGGCAGAAGATGTGGTAGATGTCCATTCTCAAATAGTGAATGTTTTCACAAATACAGGGTTTTTGCTGATGTTGATGTTTTCTCATTAGTGCAGTTAGGAGAATCCTGAAATAATCTTTTCAAGTTTGCTTTCCTTAATTATGTTATGATATAACTAATCTCAAAAACATCTATACAAATATGACACTTCTCACACTGTGGGACATGGTTCCATTGAGTGCTAGAGCAATTCTCTATGCCCAGATCATAAGCACTGAGTCAAGATACTGAAAGGAAAAGTACCGTATATTCCAAGAATTATTGACACACTGTCTACATCAGGTTATTAACATAGAATCAGGTTGGGCATTTACTTATAAAATCTGATGATACATTTTGAAAACTTTGGGTTGTACACTTGAAAAAAGAGGATGATCATGGAAATTTTATTAGGGCTAATAGAGAAGAGAAGGACAAAGACTCATTAACCTGTTCCTTCTGTATCTCCCAACCACCTGTCCTGGCACTGCGCACTTGAAGAAAGCAGAGCAACTACAACAGACATAATAACTCTACCACCAGGACAGCACTCAGGATTGCAACTGGGCCTGCAGGGCAGCAGATCTCATCATGTTTTTTAAATTAATTTTTTAATTTATTTATTTTTATTTTTAATTTATTTACTTTAATTATTTTTCAGTTGGGAAAGACAACTGAGTTACATTTCTTCACATTAAATGAGAAAGTACCTCTCTGAGAAAATGAAGGATATAGGATGGTTGGGGATGCATCTCAGGTATATGCACACTCGCCTTTGCTACCTGCCCCAGAACATCTGTGTGAAATCACCTTGGTTCCTAAAATGCTACTACGGTCACCCTCTCGAAGCACTAGTGGAACACCAACTCTATGTCAGGAGCACAACTAATTATTTTAAATGCCCAGAACTTAAGCCTTTCCAAACCCAATAGAGTTGATGTGCTCCACATTTTATAGGTGAACAAATTGAGTCTGGGAAATTCGTGAAAAGTCTGCGAATATGGCAGATGTAGGATTTAAACTCCAGCTCAGAACCTAATACCACATTTTTTCAGTTATATTTCCCTTATGATTTATTGAATGAGAAATGTTGAATTTGGCTCTGAAAGATAATTATAGCTTATACCAGAAGGGGTTTATATCATTATTAGAAATTATATGTGTCAATATCCTTGTTAGAAAACCTTTAAAATATGTCATTATGTGCAAACACTACAAAATATAGACTCTGACATACGTTTCTTATTAAGGGATCAAAGCAGCCCACTTGTATGAGTGTAAAGGGCATAGGTATTAGCAGAAACAGCACTGCAGAGTACCAAGTGCAAAGAAGAGAGCAGCTTAGGAAGCTGTGATAGGAAAACACCCTTAGGCCAGTGATCTACTGATAGGAAAATGCATGTGGAAAATTGTATCCTCAGAAAACACTGATGGCTAAAGAGAGAAGACAGAGCAATAACATGTGTATGATCTCATGCTTCCCCTTTGCCTTCCTCCAGTTTTGCCTATACTTTCTACTCGGCCTTGATGGCTGGCTACTAAACACTTGCTTATGGAACGAAATCTGAACAAGAGAATGGAAAGCAAACATGGATTCTGCTGTTCCTCAGAAAAGCTAGTTCATGTTGCAACTGTTTTTCAGAAAGCTTCGAGTGGGGATGTAGGTTGTAAAGAAAGGTGTGCTTGTTGAACAAGGGTGCTTGGAAAATGCTGTTTAGTAACAAATGCATGAAAATGTAGACATTCATATAACCATTTAACCTGAGTGACTGCCTTCCATGTATTGTAAAGCTATGTATTCCATATCTATGGGAACTCAATGTATTTCCCAGTGGAAAAGAGTTTCAAGGTTTTAGGTAATTTATATACTTTTAGTAAGAAGTATTCCTACAGCAATGAAGACAATCAAAATAAGTACTAAAATGGCATAGATATATACACGTAGAATACACAAAAGAGTTGGAATTATTTACAATCAGCTGAACTATAGAAACTTGTTTTAAACTGAAACTTGTTTTATAGAGTGGACCCTATGAAGAGCAGATGATTGAAGCAACAGGTAGATTATTCTTCTTGCCAGCATGACAAAATCAGTAGCTTTTCAGTTAGGGCTCCCTCCCAGATTATAACACAGCACTGTTTTGTAGACAAAACAAAACAAACCAAACAGGCCTTCCTGTATCTTAAGTGCAACTTCAAATAGTCCATTATAAATTACTAAATTAAGACTTTCATTAAGCAAACTATGTTAGCAGATCCTAGTGAAATTAGAAAATTATATCCCAGAGTCTACAGAATAGAAGCCCACACTATGAATCCTATTTGATAATATTAAAATAACACCGGCTTCTCCATTGACTCTTTGACTAATTTGATAAAAGTTTGTCACATTTGACTCCACTTTTAACTATATGAGTATGATAGGCAATCTTGCACACTATAGGAATCAGTGGTAGATACCTCTGTGATATGGGTGAGAAAACATAGCTCATATCAGAATAAAGAGAGAAAAGACAGATTTTAATAGAAAAGAAAATGTCTTACTTGGTTAAGAATGTCTTGTTTCTGTGCATGCAAGGAAAGAAAGAATACATGTGTTAATGTAAGATAATTTATACTCATCTCATAGCTCTGAGAATTTAACTAGAAGTTCAAGTTTACAGATTGATTTTAAAACATACCCTAGATCCATGGATCTCACGATGTAGGTCTGAAACAGCAGCATCAACATAAACTGGTAAATGGATAGAAATGAAAATTGCTGGTCCCACCCCAGGAACACTAAATCAGCAATTGGGGTTGGGGGTAAGGTGGGCAGCAAACCACATTCCACCCCCCTGGTGGTCCTGATTTATGCTAAAACTAGAGAACCACTGGATCGGTCTTTGAACATAATCATGGAACAGCTCTGACTGATATGAGAAAAATATAATGAATAGTATATACAGTATGATTAAAATTTTTCAGAATTAATGGAAATACACTGTGTTTAAGGGTACATCAGATGATGAATACTTACTTCTCGAGCTTAATGTTTCCTTCTATTAGTGTAACACACCTAACCACTCTTCATGCCTTTAAATATTACCTATATTCCCATATATCTGCCACTTTCTTCCCATTTTTTTTAGGTGTCAGAGAAACAATTTGAAATTGAGTTTGAAATCTAGGACCCTCTCTCCTCAAACTGCATGCAACGCCAAACTGGTTCTCTCTCATATGTCAGATTCCACTACTGCCGTAAGACCACTTCAATGTTCTGACAGTGTTTTCCTGTGGAGCTCTCAAGAAAACTGGATTGCTGCAGCAAAAGTTTCATGATCCTACTCAAAAGATTACAGAGAAACTCATAGGAGTCCCTTACCTCACATGTGTTGGTGGTAATTATGTGTAGAGAGATACTCACTTTTATTTCATAAGCCATGCCATCCAACAGCTTTTACCTTCTCCTTGTTCATTCTACCTACTATGACCTTCCTTCTTAAACTATAGCATAGTCATTTGAAGTAAAGAGAAAAGGGTATCAGCTTTTAATTGGATCGTAAACAGCTAGGTGTGAGTGTGGTTATTCTCATGAGTCTAGATGGGTAATCTTTGAAAAGTCATTTAATTTTTCTTAAAATGAGGTTCATTAATTCAAAGTCTTTGTAAGATCAAGACCTTTTACATTTTTTGTTAGAGAATCTTAAAGGCTATTGTCTAGATTCTCTTATTCAATTTTTGAAGGAACAGATATCAAGCGATCTTTCCAAGATAGGAGTTAAAATTAAATGATGGATCCACATTTTGCCCTTTTTTATTTCTTCTCCATTAAAATAGACTCAAATGGGTCACATCTTCTTTGTATTTTTTTTTAACACGGCCATTTTAAAACCCAGTAATTCAAGTGAATTTTAAGAAAAATAATGCTTCCACCACAGAGGCAGCTTTATTCTGTAAAGGAAAAAGCAAAGTAGGGGAAACAGAGGCTATTCTGTCTTTGAAAATGTATTTCACAGAATGATAAAAGTTATGTTCACTTTAGAAAACAAAGGAATGTTTGTCCATTCCACAGTCAGGCTGGAATACTAACTTTTCTTGTAATTGAGCATCCATTGGTAGCCTTCTAGGCCATTCAACTTTGGGTTCAACTTGAGCAGTCGCTAGAGACTGATACCTTCATTTGGAAATTGACAGTAGGAATTCTTTCTTATTGTTGAAGTAATCTTTTTAGAAAAGAGATGAGGTCATTTATTGAGAAGAACCTCAAAGCCTTAAATATTTTATTTGCAATTTTGGAGATGTCTAATTATTTGCTATTGACTTTCAACATATACATACTAAATTTCTAAAAAGAATTGTATAAGTTTTATATTTTTCTTGGAAGGAAAAATTCTTATCAATAATAAGAACAGACAGTAGTTTCACTATCAGTTGAGAACTATTTTTGGGAATCACGAGATTTAACTTTTTATTTTCCAACTTTCCATCACTTTAATAATGCAGTTCCATCAGTAGATATTTGCATTTGTGGGAAGTCATTACTGAAAAGGCCGACGTCATACCTGGGTTTGTTAGCATTTCTAGCAGCTATCTCAACAATCAGAGCATGCAAGCTTGTGGTCTTCACAAAATAGATGACATTTGCAAGACCAAATCTCAGAGTCCTTTAACAAAGTCTTAAAGAAAAAGACTGCTCTGAAGATACTATCATATTTCTACTGAATTCACAGACAGTAACTATTTTTAGGAATTAAAAAACAGGTTGATCTTTGTATATAGGTTAGACAATATGTATTTTCAAACATTGTTGGGAAAGTTATCAATAGTTCCATTTTGGGGTCTTAGTGCAACTCAGTGCAAATTGTAATTTTTACTTCTGCTCTGCCTTCTTGGACTTTGAGGGTTTCCATTATACAAGTTTCTCTGCTAACATTTTTGTCTTTCACTCTACAGCATCTAGGGAAATAAAGTGTGAGACAAATATGGGCTGGTTGTCTGATATATAAAAATGTGAATGGCTTTAAATTGTCCTTATTTCCCCCATCATTTATAGGCAGTAAATATTATTTTTGAAAAGGAAAATAAGTAGTAGTCTCAAAAGTTTTAGGAGGTACAATAATGTAGTAGGACATAGAGATAATAAAATATGATATGAATAATAACTAATGATGATGAATACTGATTGGAAGTTACTAACCACATATGTACTTTGAGGTTGAAATTCAGAGATTGAGCTGTGATAACTAAAATGAAGTTCCATAAATTCTAGAAAGTACAATATTCAAAGGTAACCAAGAACTGTGCTCTCACAAACATGCAAAAACCAAACAACAATGATAACAAAGACACATTTTCATCAGCAAACAAATCTATGTAGAGGATTCATCCAGACAAGTTCTTGCAAAGAGCAGACTGCAGCCAAGTATCACTGGAGAAGCTTCAAATGAACTGAGAGTAACTAAGGTCAAACATTTACAGGTGGCATCTCTCTGCTAGTATCTGGTGGGAAAAGTAGTGTGAATCATTAGGAATAGAAAGACATTCATCCAAGCAGAGTGCTCACGAGTACACAGGGCATGCACAGGATTTGTAAGAAAATAATTTCAGGAACCTATATGCTTGCAGGTAATTGGTTAAACACAAGATAGGAGGGGGAAAAGACCCATTTTTCATCCAAGATGGGTCCTTAAGATGACAGACCAGTTATGTCCATCACAAAATCTTTCTTTGATCTGGGAAATGGTTCCTTGAAAGAAGTAACCTCTGTGCACCAAACCAAAGTCTGTTTTGGGTTAAAATGTGGAAGTCAGGCATCCTCTGTCTCCTTTCCATATCTGGTCCTGTTCCCTAACTTCCCAGACAAGAATCTTATACTGCATGTAAGTGGCCTATACTCCTTCGTGCACACACTATAGAAGTGTTATTTTCATTAGCAAAACGATTTGAATGAAAAATGTAGTACAACACTTAGTATATCTTGCAAAATAGCATTTTGTGATGGACTCCATTTTGTTTGTGCTATGGTATGTGAATATATATATATAGTATATATATATATAGCATAAATGGACTATATATATAGTATATATATGTATAATTTGTATATATGCACATACATATAAGTGTATACATATATGTATGCCTATATATAAATACAAACATATTTCCATAAACTTTCCATTAAAAGATAATCCCCACAAAGCATATATCTGAAACTGATTTAAAGAAAAAAGAAGTTTTACCCCTTCAGGATTATACTTTGCAAGCACACCGTTACCGTGGAATTCTTCAAGAACATCCTTTAACTTCTTTGTAGAATCTACAAGAAATAGAAAACATACAAATATTTTACAAACATCTACTATGACTGTGTAGCCCAGGAGAGAAACAAATGGCTCCTAAAATGTAGATAATCACCAACTGAAACTAAATGGAAAAATAAACATGCAATGTTGTCTTCTATCATTTCTGAAAGGCAATGGCGTTTTAATCTTAAAAAAGTCACAAAGATATGAAAGGAACAGAAAAAAGGTATATTTTGCCCAAATGTTTTGATCAAAACGGGCCATTGCCTTATATATCCATTAATGAGCACATAAATAGCTTTTATGTTTTCTTCCTTTATTTTTATAACATCTAAATGAATGAATTCAACCTCACTTACAGAGAAAAAAGAGAAAATAGGCATTCTTTGTTGAACGTTACAATTTAAAGTGTGTTTTTCATATATAGCTGCATTAATGTTAACTGCACCACTGCATAACTTAGAGATAAAACATAGAGCCAAGCATCGAAGGTGAACTCACTCAGAGGCAAGCTCTACATTACAAAATTTTGGAGGGTATTTTTGGAAGAATATTCTAACAATAGATAACACCAAACTTTGCTTCAAACAAAGTTTGGATGCTTCAAGTATTTAAAATTATTTTTTTCAAAAGTACTATAATTTTAGGTCTTTAATCAGATTAGATAATGACAAAAATCTGTCAAAATGAAAAATGTCATAAAGAATCCATGTAAGTTTTTTAGTATTAAGATTCTACATTAATATAAATTTTTAGTAAGCAGCTTCAAAAGCACAAGGAAGATGCAAGCAATAGCTGCCAAACATGAGTAAATCATGCAGTGTCAATCAAATCGGAGCAACAATGAACAAGCAATACTGAAATTAGGAGGAGAGAAACACGTGGGCTGTTTATTTTCTTTTGTGGATCAGGGCATAGGGAACTGTTTCCAAGGATTTGAACACTATCTTTCCTGATGACATCCGTACTACCACGATATAATCCTGTTTAAAAACTAACTGTAAAGTGAGCTTTCAAACATTCAATAATTCACTCTAAAAGTCTGTCGAGTGCATCATGCCTGTGTTTTGTGAACTGAACGTTCACATGCACAATTTCCTTCCTTTGTACTATAAAATCTGTGGGTTTGTATATGTGTACTGAGATAGTATTTTTTTTTAAATAAAAACATTTGTGAGATGAAATTGACATAACAAAATACACTACTTTAACTATTTTAAACCATGTAATCCGTTAGTATATTCACAGGGTGGCCATCACCATTACCTTTGCAGAACATTTTCAGCAACTTGGAAGGGAATCCCATACTCATTTCACTCCCCTTTCCCCTTCAACTCTTGCCTTACATTCATCTATTTTCTTCATGTATGGATTTATCAATTCTGGTTAGTTCATGTAAATGGAATCATCAGGAATGTTTTCATTGCGACTAGATTCTTACAATTTACACATAGCTTTCAAGGTTCTTCCATGCTGGACATGGACCAGTATCTCTTCCTTTTCTCAGCTGAGTAGTATTCCATCGTAGAACAGACTACTGTTTATATTACTCTCTCAGCAGTTATTTATGTAGATTGTTTCCAGATTTTAACTATTACAATAATGTTTCTCTGGAGGGCCAGCAGTGTGGCACAGTGGGTTGGGCCACTGCTTGCCATGCCAGCATCTCATATGGGCACTGCTAGGATCCCGGCTGCTCCACTTCCAAACCAGCTCCTTGCTAGTGTGCCTGACAAAGCAGCAGAGAATAGTTCAAGTGCTTGAGCCCCTGCTAACCACATGGGAAACTAGGATGGAGCTCCTGCATCCTGGCTTTGGCCTGGTCCAGCCGTGGCCATTGCAAATACTTTGGGGGTGAATCAGTGAATGGAAGATTCTTTCTTTCTTTACCGTTCTCTCTCTCTCTCTAACTCTGCTTTTCAAATACATAAATAAATCTTTAAAAAATGCTGCTAGAACATCCACATGTACACATATTTGTAAACATATATCACAATGTTCTTGGATGCACGCCTAAGGGTATAATTGCTGGGTCACACACTAATGCTATGTTTAACGTTTTGAGCAAGTACCAAATGGGTTTTCACAGCTTCTGTACCAATTACAATGTATAAGAGTTCAATTTCTCATCAGCTCTGCCAACACTTATTTTCTAAGGTTTTTATGATAACCATCCTAGTTTATGTGACTGGTTTTGGTTTTCATCTTATAAGTCTTTTGCTAATGACAATGATATTGAGCATATTTTCATGAGCTTATCTGCCATTTGTATATTCTTCAGAGAAATGCCTATTCCTTTGATCTTTTTTTTTTAGTTGGATTGCTATTCAGCTGCTGAGATTCTTTGGTGTATGTGTGTGTGTGTGTGCACCTGCTTGAAGTTTGTACAGCTTCCTGTGTGTTTTTTTCCAGTTGATGCTTTGCTGGCACTTTCCATCTATGATCAAAGTCAATGTGTTGTGTTGTGAACCTTGCTAGACTGCAGGTTGCCCTAGGGCAGAAAAGATATAATTTCATTTTTGCACACCATTTAACTTTATTAAAAAGTTGAAAAATAGAATTGCAGTAAGTGTTGGGATTAAACTGGTAAGACTTTTTCCTAAATTACAACCAATCACAGTAATTGCTTCCACATGGACCTTTTCAGAAATCACACTACTGCAGGAAACCAGATTATGAATTAAAAAGAGAATATGATGCTGATCCCTTATTTCCAAGTCCTTCTTTGTGGATGTTGAGCCATTATTACAGGTTATCAGAAAACTTTTGCTTCTTTTTGTTTATGAATCTAGAGACAGAGCGTCTACATCCACAGGAACACACACACATGCGCACACACGCACATACACACACATACATTCCTGATTCTCAATCCCAAAAGTCCATTTATTTCGATCATATTTTAGTCTCATAAAAAGAAGAAACGTGGAGAAAAGAATGGAACTTCACTTTTTTTTAAGAGGCAGAGACAGACACACACACACATAGACAGGCAGAGAGAGAGCTCCCATTCCCTGGTTCACTACCCAAATTCCTGCAAAGGCTAACATCAGATTGAGAACTCAGTCCATGTGGTGGCAGGAACCCAAGTACTTGAGCCATAATTTCTGCCTCCCAAAGTGTGCATCAGCAGGAAGTTGGAATTGAGCTGGAATCGGATAGCAATCCCCAGAGCTCTGATGGAGGATGCAGAAATCTTAACTACAGGGCTGAACACCTGCTCTAGAATGTAGTTTCTTGTTTATAACTCTCCCATGGAACTTCAGAGACAGGATCTGAAAATGGCCTTTTAATTTTGGATGGTTATAAAAGTAAAACACATTCAGCTATCTTTTATAAACACCCCAGGGGAGACAAAAGCTCTTAAAATGATTCATGTCCCATTTCACTATTTTATTGGTCATAGTTATATTGGAATAGACGTAGAAAGGAAACTATGAGCTAAATCAGGAGCCATGATCTTGATCTGGAACAACTTAAGAAAACCTAATTTATATTCAAATGACTCATCACCAACTCAACTTGCTCCTTTTTCCAATTTTCAATTTCCAGTTCTAAAATCTTGATAGCTCAGGTTTATGATCCAATCCCTACTTTGCAGTCTAGCTTGGACATTGGACCATTCTGCTACTCTTCTATTTTTGTCTCAATATCCTTTTTAAAAAAAAAAACAATATTTATTTATTTAAATGGCAGAGTGACAGAGAGAAGAGGGAAAGAGAGAGAAAGAGAAAGAGAGAGGAAACCTTATTGTGCTGATTCATTCCTCCAAATAGCCGCAACCATCAAGGCTGGGCCAGGCCAAATCTAAGAGCCAGGAATTCCATCCTGGTGTCCCACAGGGGTGACATCAGCAGCCCAAGTACTTGGGCCACCACCTGCTGCCGTCTCAGGCACATTAACAGAAAATTGGATGAGAAGCAGAACACCCCAGGTTCATAATAGCAACCAGGAATCAAACCAGCACTCCAATATGGGATGCTGAGATGCAAGCTGCAGCTTAATCCACAGTGCCGGGCCCTGCAAATTCTTTCTGAAGTGCAGTCTTTCTCAACCTGAGGCCTTGACTTGCACAGTCATTCTTCTGCAGGTGAGGATTTTGTCTTGGAATGCCAGAGTTCCAGGTAGCCTTAGCTTTCCAACAGAATGCTCTTACGTGAACTGTGTGCATATCTTCTTGGACTAGGCTGTGAAATTTCTTCTTTGTATTTATTTTATTTTATTTTTTGAAAGGGGGTAAGAGAGGCTGGCGCCGTGGCTCACTAGGCTAATCCTCCGCCTTGCGGCGCTGGCACACTGGGTCCTAGTCCCAGTCGGGGCGCCGGATTCTGTCCCGGTTGCCCCTCTTCCAGGCCAGCTCTCTGCTGTGGCCAGGGAGTGCAGTGGAGGATGGCCCAAGTGCTTGGGCCCTGCACCCCATGGGAGACCAGGAGAAGCACCTGACTCCTGCCATCAGATCAGCATGGTGCGCCAGCCACAGCGCACTGGCTGTGGCGGCCATTGGAGGGTGAACCAACGGTAAAGGAAGACCTTTCTCTCTGTCCCTCTCTCTCACTGTCCACTCTGCCTGTCAAAAAATAAATAAAAAAAAATAAAAAAGAAAGAAAGAAAGAAAGAAAGAAAGAAAGAAAGAAAGAAAGAAAGAAAGAAAGAAAGAAAAGAAAGGGGGTAAGAGAGAGAGATCTTTCATCTGCTGATATACTTCCAAAATGCCTGCAACAGCTGGATTGGGCTAGGTCAGAATGAAACTGTGAACAAAGAACTGTTTTGTGACTTCCAAGTAATTGATCCCTCACCTGCTTCTTCCAAAGGGTGCAATGTGCAGGAAGATAGGAAAGAGTGGAACTGGGGTTCAAGTCCAGGTATTCTAACATGGGAAGTGGAGAGTTCCTTGAGCACTACCCTAGGAACTTCCCCTTGGCTATGGAATTTTTCTACTGCTGTATTCTATCTACTGTCATTGGAGAGCACATTTATCTTATTTTGTAATTTGGCTGCTTTTCTGAGTTTCATT